TGCGTAGTAGGAAAGTATATTGTAAATGAAATTGTATCAAACAAGTACAATTGTACCAAAAAATGCCAACACTGTTGTGTATACATATTTTTTTTCTTTTTTACTTTTTTACTCTTATTTTATCTTTCAGCTTCGCTAAAAGCACTTATACCAACGCTTGGCTTACCAAATTTACGCCAATTGATAAAATTTGGCGATTTAAACTCATTTTAAATAATGTAAACAACAATTCGAGTTGAATCGAAAATCGCCTCGTCTGAATAGGGATGGCAACTTTTTCACTTTCAACTTCTCATTCAACTCCGCATTCAACTTTTGTTGCCTGAAAAATCGCCTCGTGCGAAAGGCCTATTAGTTTGCTCGGAGGTGGTTATGTCGAGTTTCGCACAGGGTTGCACGTTCATTATGGTTTTCATGGCTATTGCCAACACGAAATGAGAATTTCAGATGTACATAACGCGCACAATTTAAAATTTTTGTATTTGACAACACCGAATTTACTGCAGTTTGACCAAACAAAATTAGTTTGCTTTGAGAGTCGCCAAACTCGCTCTCTCCGAGTTTGCTGCAACAACAATTGCACGCAGTTTGCCAAACAAAATTTCTGCATAACACCAACCTTAGTAGTCGTTTATCTACTTCTAGTCGACACTCGCAAAAGGGGTGTTGGAAAGGGATGGGATTATACGGGCGAGTAATTCTCCTTACGCTTCAGCAATAGTACTTGTAAGGAAGAAGAGTGGCCAGAGGCGCTTATGTGTTGATTAAAAGGGTCTGAGTAAAATATCCGTACGAGATAACTACCCTCTGTCACTCATAGAGGACTGTATAGAATATCTCGAGGGTAAGAATATTTTTTCTGTTTTAGACCTGAAAAATGGGTTCCACCAAATTAGTATGTCACCGGAGTTCATTCCATACACTGCGTTCGTGACACCGAATGGACAGTATGAATATCTTAAAATACCGTTCGGACTTAAAAATGCCCCGGCTGTTTTTCAGCGTTCCATAAACGACAAATTTAGAGATTTAGTGGACGCAAGGAAAATTATCATCTACATGGATGATATATTAATAGCCACTGCACCTCTCGAAGAGCATACAGCTTTATTGATGACGTTATTGGAGCGTATTAGTAGACGAGGTTTAAAACTAAATTTATCAAAGTGCAAGTTTGGGTATACTCAGATAGAGTACCTGGGATACTCT